TGCTGCGAAAACTTGTTATAGATCAGAAATGTTCTACATCCTCTTTCTTTTGAATTATGTTCAAAGAGATGTTGAATTTTAATAGCTCTATGTGAAAGAGCTGAGTGAAATCTCACTGAAGCTGCCGGACAAAATCATCACCTTTCATTCAAGATAAATGTAAGAAACAAGCAAACTCTTTTATGAAGCCTGATAACTGAAATTACAGAAGTTATCATCAAAAACAAGAGAAACGTGAAGCATATGGACCCATGAGTTTCTCTAGAAACTGATATGCTTAATGCAGAGAGAGAGCATTAATCAAGGCAAGATGATTAATCCTGATAAGCAGCATAAATGTGTAAAAGGAATAAAGAAAACACCAGCACAGCTCGACAAACTAGCATTGTGATCCTGGCAGAAGAAAAGCTGAAAGAGAGGTTGGGGGTAAAACACAGGGTGAATGAGGTTTGGAAAAAAAGAAATTATTGCCTGTTATTTGATTCTGTCTTTGTTCAAGGAAATAAAACTGTGTACTTTCTTTGTAAATAAAATGGAACTCTATCAAAGCAAAACCTTGTCCTGAGGATGAATTTTCTTTCCAGCTGAGAAGAAAACAACCCACAGACCTGACAAATTGTTTAACCACTCAGGTAAAATGTAAGGAGAGTCATCCAGTTTTTAAGAAAGGGAACTGTGAGGTGGAATTCCCACTGAACCAAAATAGAATCAACGAAGGATGTATCTCTCAGAAACAATAATTGGTAAAAAGATGAAAACAAGATCAGGTAAAATTAAATTAAGACTTAAATCAGCTGGAGGCTTTTAAAAATTAATTAAAGTAGTGGCTGGAAAACTTCCAGAGTGGTCCAAGAGATGACAAGCAGGCAGAGATGAAATCTCTGCTTGAGCCACAAACACAGAATATCCAGACAGATTAGGATGCCCTGTGGCAAAACAGATTAATGAGATGACTGACAACACAACTCCTGCAGGCTAGAAAGTTTTCAAAGAAATACGTGAGCCAGGAAAGTTGGAACTAACTTGGCACTTGCTGACTTAGAGGAGCTATGCCAAGAAACAAAGGAGCTGGAGAAGTAAACTGGAGGGTCAGAGATAACTGTGGAAATCTGATGCCTGGAAGTGGTCTTATGCCATTAGAAAAACCAGTGTAAGATCACTGCCTTTTTTACCATTATTATTTTTCACAACATATACAAATTTGAACACCATCTGAAAATTACCAATATCCAGGAGTCTGGACTATCTCCATCTCAAATACTGTGTCTTTGAAAGAAAAGCTTCCATCAAGCTCTCAAGTCAACGTGAAAACCCTAATGAAGAGGAAGTTGTGCAGAAAATTCTGAGTCTAATGGCCAGCTCTACTGGCTCAAGTTAGATGGTACTGAAGAATGATACCTCCTTGTCTCCACCCTACCAAAAACACATAATCTTCCAAGCAGTGGTCACTAGTGAGATCAGTGAAACTTGTCCCTCTTCAGTCCCATAGTGGTACTAGGTTTGGATATGCTCACCTGTAGGAAGAATGCTAAATGAAATGAACCCAGACCAAGTGTCATCAGCGTTGAATGAAAAAGCTTTGCCTAGTTTGGGAAAAAGAAGGCACTGAACTAACTATGATCTTTGTTCAGAACTGGGCAACTTGAAAACAAGGAATGGGAATTTGATTGCTAAGTGTCTAATAGCACTTGCACTAAAATACTTGGCACTGAATCAACATAAGATGTTTTAGAGGAGCCTGCCAATAAAACTAGGAAAAAAACATCACCCAAAACTAAATTATCTGTTTGATCTTAAAAAGAGATAATGGATGTGACCACATGATCATGTATTTGATAGACTAAGGGCAGCAGAAAGGGCAGAGCAGTGTCAGAGCTCAGGAACTGAGGTCGTTTTGAAAGGAGCTTCCTCCAGATGCATCTGCTGCCTTCTCCGCTGCCAGGAGGCATTCAGTCCACTGGACTACTGAACAGCTGGTCTGAAGTAAAACCTACAAAGTACTGTGACATTCTACAACTCCATCCACAGAGGGTCACACTGCTTGCTACTGGAGACATAGTGATTGGTGGAAGAATCGAATGCAAGCTTCAGGAAAACCAGCTTCAGAAGCTGTGTCAGAAATTGGAGCATGAAATCTAGACAGGAAAAATCAGAAGTAGTTTGGATTTCATTATGGGTATCAGCTGTGTTGTAAATGCCAGGAAAGTTGCCTTACACTTTGGAGTAAAACAAATGCTCTTTAGATCAGTGTTTTCTAGAAATCAGCTTGAAATATCTACAGAGTGGAAACAATTACAACAAGTTCTTGCTGGGGCAGCCTTTCAGCCAAGATACAGTGAGGTGGCTGATGCCCACCATATAGCTGGTCTCTCAGGAATCTTAGCAGCTAAATCTCTGCAAAAAATTAGGAGCAATACATCTATTAAATATTGCCATAGAAGGTGATGCCAAACTCCAAGTGTTTCTGTTGGACTTGCTAAAGCATGATAATGTGCATTTAGACAAGGAACAGCAGAATAGTCCCACATCTCTCTAGAGTCAGTCATTCTTCTCACTGTCAGTCAGAAAACTGCCTCACTGAGCACAAAAAAAGGGAAAAGAGCAACACAACTCAGCAACAGCTGGCATTAAGTGGAGGAGGGAGAGGGAGGAGAACCACTGAGATGATGTATCAGGAATGAATAATTGAATCTTTAAACAGTCCCTGGTGGCAGTACCATGGAAGCACCATAAACTACAGAAAACTGTATTAAATAAATATCAAAGGACTGTGCCCTGACAGCAGTTAAGACTCTATTTTCCATGGAACATTCAGGTTTCCCAGACCTTACCTTAAAATAGGTACTATAACGTGAAAAACAGAAATTAACTTTACTCTTGCAACTGAGCATAAACTTGAACGTCTTCAAGTCATGGCTTTTGACTTGTACACGGGATCTACTACATTGCAGTGGTTGTGGATGCACTGTTCTGTAAGGAGTTCATCTCTCTTGGCCTGTTTATTATGACTAGCTGGTACCCTGGGGCATGTAAAAGGCTTGGGAGAGGAACTGGCAAATTGGCATGTGTTCAGTAGGAAGTTTAAGAAAAGTGGGTGATGGACCAATGCTCAAGTGACAGACATCATCAAAATAAATCTCAGAAACCAACCTTCCTATGGAACGTAATAGAATAAACAACAAAAGAACATCACGTCAAAAATGGACACACTGCAACAGTCGAACCGAAGGTGAACCACAGCTGCCAAATGGTTTGTTCGGAGATGTTCACAGCAAATCTGGTGAGGAGAGGGAATGAACTTTCACCGACAGGTAACTGGGAGGAGAAATAGCAAAAAGAGCAGAAGGAAAGTGAAAAGACTCCTCCACTCAAAATAGCAAGAGGAAAGCGAGGAAAGCAAGGAAAGAAAGGAAAGAAAGAGATCTTTTGAGTATAAAGTTGGAATGAAAAAGATTGGATCACAGAACAAAGAAATAACCTTTCAGTTCTAGTCTCTGTGACCATGCAAACAGGTTGCCTAACTGTTCAAAGTGGTGTGGGAGAAGAACAAAATATATCCCTACTGTGTTTGTATGATTAATTCTGATTTCTGCAATGCTTATACAAAGAGGGCTCTTTTTTCAGCATCTAAAGGGGCAGGTGCAGGTGAAAATATACAAACGTAAACATGAATATGCAAAATATGCAATTAAAAGCCTGGGCCTTAGGAATCATAAAATGCCATTACAGAATAGCTAATATAGTATTTGATTTTGCATGTTTAACTTAACAAATACATTTTCAAGTTCCGTGCCTGTTATAAGGAACCCACTTCCCAAGGGAAAAAAGATCAGTCTTCTCAATTGTGTCTAATTACCAAACAGTGAAGACAAAACCCACAAGTCACTTGAAAATTTAAGCCAGACCAAAAGTTCAACTGACTTCAAGCAGAAAGCATTTGCTCTGCCCTTCTAAAACCCAGTCCCAAAATATCTCAGACTGAGCACTTAAATATCCAGGCATCCAAAATTCAACAATTTTTTTGAAAATGTCCTGATTCCTCATCATAAAAAGCAGGAATTTGTGACATGAAAAGCATCTTCAATAGGGATCAGTCAATGCTTTCTAATCATAGGTCACGTAATGCAGATGAAAAAATGATTTCAACTGATGCAAGCTACTAAAATACAATGACACTTCTGAAATTGTCACATACATATTCTTTATCTTCACAAAAAATGCTTCTTAACTCATAATGCAAAACAAAAACCAAAAACATATGCTTGTGTTGATAATAAGATCCAGCTGGCCTCCTACCCAAACAGCTCCTGTAACCTGTCAGGCCCACTTCTACACTTCCAAAGGAATATCTAATCCAGTGTATCCGTCACACAATCACACACATCTAGTCCAGCAATGTGTGTGCTGGTCCAATCTGAGAGCTGTACTAGCAAGGAAAACATCTGCATGCAAAGTTAATTCCTATTTGTATATAAATAACTTCTGCATTTAGCCCCAATCCCGCAAAAAATTATGCCCCTATTTAAATTTATGCAGCTGGGTCTTGACTATGTGTGGTAAGGAAAATGCATAAGACTTTAAGCATATTGGGGAACTGGGACATGTGTGAAGTAGGTTTCAACGGGAAAATTCATGGCACACAACATTAGGTCCTTTCTAATCTGGAGAGTGACAATGAATTCTGGCTACATTCTTCAGAAGGTCAGGCCCTCTCAAAATCACCCAGTCCTTGCCAGTAATTTAATTACAGAGACCTGGCACTAAAACATGAATACTTTGGCGTGAGGTTTTCAGTATAATTTTCAGATCAAATATTCTTTAGCGGGGCTTGTCTTAATACATAAATAGCTTGAGTATCTATGTACTAAATATAAAAAAAGACAGTAGAATGAAGGTTATTCCACCTATAGTAACTCAAGCACTACATATTTTTATACATTTCAAGAAGCATAGGAAAACTTGTGACATAAATTCAGTTCTCAAAGAGGAATTTAACTTACCTGCCAGAAGTCAGCGACAGTAGCAGGGAGAGGGCCCTGGGTGGCAATATATGCTGGGTTTCTGGGGTCATGGTCCATCTGGAATAAGGAAGAAGAGCACAGACTGGATTTATTTGAAAGAAAATTCCTTGCTGTGTTAGAGACCGAAAGTACGCAAGGGCAGAACAAGGGACTTCCTAAAGTCATGTCCCTCCATCATTTATTGGCAAGCAGGGAATTTTATCTCTGTTTTTTAACCCCAAAAGACTGATGCTACCAGATGAGTATCATCACACATGATGAGCCATGTCCTATGTCCTCAATATGCAGAGTAAGATCACTTACGATGGCTGACAAAGGCATTTATTTGAGATCAGTACTCGTGGTTTCATAGCAACCTAGGAGCCATTTGAAACATTTTTCTACACTGAATGTTAAGAATGCTCCACACATCTAAATATGTTCTCCATTTCCACTGTGCCAGTCAAGGGCACATGCAACTAAAAAAACAGCAAAAATGGGGAACAAATTCAGTTTCTGGCTTCTTCTGGTTAGCCGATTTATCTAAATGCATGGATTTGGCCTCAATGGAGGAAGTTCTGCTTAAAGACCTTAATTATTACGTTTAATTCAAGGAGCAGAAAATTCACTGAGCAGAAAAAATAAAGAATCTGAGAAACAAAGCTATCAAGAGTAAATAGGATTAGTGTGTTACAATGAATGTTTTCGAACTGATGGGTGGTTTTCTTGGTTCTAAATCTTAGGACTCATTCTGCCGAAAAAGAAGATCTGCTGATAGGATTAAAAAACAAACAAACTCATTCTAACCCTGAACTGGGCAAGACAAAACTTTGAACATAAAGAAAAGAGACCCAGTTCAGCGCTCAGATATGTGGGTGTGACTCAGTGACACTGCAGTTGGCGAGAGTTAACTTATATCCATGTAGCTGAAGGCAGAATTTGTCTCAATACATGATTCTGTTCTATAAGTAAAGATCTGAATAAGAATGAATGTGAGTCACATTTGCATTAACAGGCATCTCCTGAATTTATTCATAGCCTATCAAAATTTTCAGTGATGGTACATGTCAGCGCAAAAGAAGGCACCTCATAATTATGTGCAACATAAAAGAGGGAAGAACCATAAAAGAACAGATGTAAGTTATTCTAAAAGAGCAACAATATAATGAATGTTGCAAAAAGGAAGAGAACACTTTTATGTTTCTAATTTTCTGACACATAATTAAGCTGGACTTAATATTAAAATTCCCCATGACAACACAGGTAAAATGAAGTCACCGAATCAATTTAGACTAAAAGCTTACTTCTGATTCACCACCCACAGTTATAAAAAACTTTGACCAGGATGTCTATAATACCATCATTTTATTTTGAGTTTCATTGAGGTGCTTCTCTTATCAGCAAATAAATCTTGAAAACAAGCAATTGCTCACAACAGATTTCAACCTTGCTTTCTTTGCCTTTTGACAAAAGCAATTCTGATAGCAGAACATTGACTACTGTGAGTATTTTGAAACCAGAGAAAAACTAGCTTTCTTCAGAAAGCAGTATTAACAAAAAAACCCTTAGGAACCACTTCCAAAAGGTCAAATAATTTTTTTTTTTTTTGGTAAGAATTGGGGACACTGAACTAAACACAGCTGAAAACAACAGCAAATGTGATTAAGCAAATTCATGCATAAAAGTGTTCTTTTTTTATTCTCCATTCTCCATTTTTATTCTCCATTCTGTAGTTGTTTTGTTTTGACTCCCTAAGATCTACACATGAACCATTGTGCTGAAATGGTTTCCTATGCTGGAACTAAAAATCTTAACTTAAAAAATCAACCTGCACTGAGGAGGACTTGTTACTCCCTGTGGAAACCATTGCACCCACTTGAAAATGATGTGACTTCTCCGACAGGCGAGAGCCTGGCTCAGAAATGTAACCAACAGTGAATACATCAAACTTTAGAAAAATAATAATTTACTTTAAATTTCTTCTTAAAATAAATTCTTTTGGATGTAGACATGCCAGAAAACAAAGGCAGAAGATGATGCAAATAGCGCTGTCATGGAGGAAACACTCCTCAACATTCAGCTGATAAATCAGGAATAGGCCAATCTTGGCATTTCAACATTAATCAACTTCTGTCACAAAGGTGCTGTTGGAACGTGGCAAACATTACAATAAGCACAGGGTAGTGAAGTATATCAGCAGTTTAACAATAATTCAAAAGACAATTACAATTATTATATTCCAAGCACATTGCAGTGCACAAAAAACAATTATGAGCAGAAACTCTTCTTGCTTGGAGCAAATAGAAGGTGGCAGAAAGCCCTATCACACTATTAAATGATCTTTAACTGAACAAAAATAAGAGCAAAGATTAAACTAATTAAATGAAATTCCTGGTTTTATCAATTTTCTATCACTTGTACTGTTTTAAATACCACGTATTTCAAGGAAAGTGTGAAAAATCACTACTCTGGTCACATTCAATTTAACATGAGTAGGTGATGGCAAGGGACGGCTCTTGAATGTTTTTGCTATGTTCTTTTTGATTCACTCAAGGTCACCAAGAACACCAAGGGCAACTTAATCTATCAAAGTTAACAGAAGTTTGAATAAAGAAATAAAGTCAGTAATGGGTTTTAAACTAACTAATCAAGGATCAAGTAAAAGGCTTTTTTTTTTTTTATGTCACTAGTTATTATCTTCTTTCAAGGATCCCTCAGATTTCTCACTTCATGAAAATAAAATAGAAAATGTATTCTCCAGAGAAGAATGGAGAACTGCAGACTCCATACAATCAAGTATTAAACCAAAAATTGACTGTTTGCTAACATTTTACATCAGAACAACCTTCAGAAATCACCCTAATAGTAATTGTTCAAAAAGAACAGGATTCTCCCCTCTATTTCCCCATCAAAGCATCAAGTTCACAAGGTTTACATCAGAACTGGATCGAACAGCCACTGTTAGAAAGAAAAAGCTGCAACTATTACAACTGTTCTACTATGATGAAATCCTCATTTTCTACTGCAGTACAACAAAGGCAAGTTTGGTGATAATGCTTCAATCTATTTTTCCATGATTTTATATTAGGGACCCAGGATTACTATAACTGATCACTGACTGTGGCGGTTTCTGTCACTACCAATATTGAAAGGAAAAGGAAACAAACAGGAGGAGCACTGCGATTTCTTCTTGGAAAAGAAAAACTAGATAAAACTTTAGTGACACAACTTGTATTTTTCTACAACGCTTTGTAATATAAGTTCAATTAAGGTACGTTAAAGTAGGAAAAAAAATAAAGAACACTATCACAATTGGTTTCCCCTTTGTTAACATCAGACCACAATTTCACCTGTGCTTTACTAGAGAATAAAAGCTACACCTTCAGTTTTTCCTTCAAGAATTCTATTATCTTGCTGCCTTATCCCAGGACTTTGCAAGGATTCCCTGAAGAATGCTGAAATTTGTTGAGTTTTTAGATAGAGATTGTGCTGCTCATGATTTCACTGATAATGCTGATGGAATACAGCAAAATCAATACATTCTGGGAGTAAATCCTCAAATGTATTGTATTTGGACTTGAGAGTGGTACATAAAGATTCTTGTTAAGTAGCCTTGTAAAACTGTAAATTGAAGTAAAGGTGTCAATAGGCATCAATGACTATTTTGAAATCTCATGTAAATGATAACACATTCATTCTTGCCCTTTACCTTTCCCTTCAGCTTGTCATATCCTTACTTTCCACAGAGAAAGATGCTGGGTGAAATGTGGTCTCTGTCACATTCACCTATTTACCTTCATCCAAATCCTCTGAATCCAGCTGAAATATTCCTAAATCACATGAGATCAGAATGAGATCCAGTGTACACCATATATGGTAGAAAGGAAGTTAAAATCGGACTAACACCTTAAAAATTCATACGGATTCAAGCTGCTGTGTGGCTTCCAGACTTAATGTGTTTACAGCACCAACAAAATCTACTTTCATGCATGTATTTATTACACAGAGTATAGACAATCTCTAAAAGTAGGAAAAGTGTATTTGTTTATGTAAAAGAAAGCATATCCAGAAAATGCAGATGAACTTTGTAATCATATTTATCTCAGCATTAAAATTAAAAAGGTAGACTAGTCCTCCCCTTCATGTTTGAATTAAAATTTAAAACAAATTTTTAAATCCTTCCTTTAAAACCTCTAATGGAATGAAAGAAGTAAATCTGGTTGTGAATGCCATTATGAATTTCAGAGTCTATTCTTGGTGATGTAATTTGTATGCTGTATTTGAACAAACTGTCATGCTAATGACATTCCTCAGTCTGGTGTCTTCAATAATAAGCAAACTGAGTTTTAAAATGTAGTTGATGGGATTTTTTCTCTCTCAGACACCCTATGAGGAAAAACAGAATTTCCCATTTACTTTCATGACCTCTGATTTAAAAGCAAAGATTGCACATTATTTACTACTGGATGATTTTCCTGAAATTTAATGAGGACTAAGTACAAATATGACAGAAGTAATTATCACAGTTTTATTCTGCACAGTCAGGGTCTCCTTGTGCTGTAATTGCAAGCCTTTCATTCAGCTGCTGATAGCAGAGTTATTATCATAGCACTTTACGTTATTTCAGAGAGGAGGGAAACAGATTTCTACCTCACTTCTGCCCTGCAAATTTATCCCAAGGACTCATTTTGCCTGGCCTTAGACTACAGTGAAATTAAAGACCTACGGGAAGAACTTGGACTAAATCTTTCCTGATTCTCCTCACCCATTCCCAGCTGCTTTGAGGCCGCCAACCTAACCCCAGTTTTCAAATCATATTGGAGGGAAAGGAGGTATTGAGGAGGGGTAGCACTTTTTAAAATGAAGAAACATGTGGTCAGGTGGCACGCTCATTGTCTAGCACAGGGATTTTTTTTACAGTGTGCTGCTGCACTCATTCAGGCTGCAGTTAAGGTTGAGTGAGCCCCAGCTGGAGACTGGACCACTGACCCAGAAGCTGGAGATACTCGGCCACATGTACCTGACTGGCAGCTTCCCTTTCTGAAGCTCAGATAGAATTACTTTATTTTACACTCTTCCTCCACCAGACAGCTCACACACGTGGGGAGGAAAAAGCCTCTTCCAGTCAGTTCAGCCCGTACTGATCCTGAGCTATTAATGCCCACCTTGCAGCTTATCACAGCATTCACTCCTCACCCAAGCGCTGCGATGCCAAATGCACCGGGAGCATCCCTGTATTGGTATGATAATTACCGAGGTTATTTAAGTGGAAAGACAGCAGTGTGAAGGAAAGAAATGGTAGGACTTTTGCAAGAGCAAGTGAAGGCAGATCAGTCCTGTACTGGCACTCCACATCCACTGCACACTTACAAGGACACTGGCTAAACGTGTGCCTGTTAACAGAAAAGATCTGGCTGCAATACCTGTACATCCACAGTAAATACTGCAGAATCAAGTGCCCATCACAATATTCCAGTGGCCAATTGAGGGGGAGAGGAAGAGAGACTGAATCTCTCTGCCACTCCTATATTCTACCTCATTATACAAAAATGATAGTAGATTAACAAATATGTTTACACTAACCTGAAGATTTTTTTTTTTTTTAATTCAACAGTTTGCAGGGAATCTTTCCAAACCATGGGTTTGCAAAGCAGTGATTTCCTCCTGTCAACCTCCCACTGCATCACCTTCAGGAAGCACAGATTTTGATTTACTGCTTTCAAAATAGCAAAATGACTACTGACTTAGTGAAACGAACTCATGCAACTATCTGCAGCACATCTTTCCCTGGAATAGCAGGTCTACACAAATGTCAGCTGTGCACTTCTCCCCACATAGAGAACAGTAGGTTCTCTAGCCTACCATTAAGAAAAGGAACTCAATAATAAATAGAACTCCTGTGAACCCACTTTTCTCTGGGTATAGAAATATTTCTGTAAGAGATATTACAGCAACCATAAGATTTTCTGATTCATCAGTGTGACTTGTTTTATTGAACAAAACTCTTGCGTCTGGAAAAGCTACAAAAAAGAAATACCTTCTAACCTTGCAGAAGAAAATACCCTTAATTAAGAGCTGGATAGAAAGGCAGCTTCTGTGTAAAAACACAGAAGTTAAAGCTGTAAAAGCAGAGACCCTCTGCTTGCATTAGCTTCAGGCATCTAGGCAAAGCAAATCAGTTTTGTCAGTGGGATATCTTGGTCCTGTTTCTTCACCTCCAATACTACTTAGTCTCATACTTTTCTCTTCAGTGCAGTTAAATAATTACACTATAATCCAGAATTACAATTGCAGCAGGCATATGCACATATGCAAGAATTTATCCCTTCTCCAACCAACTTTGTGTAATAAAACTAGTTAAGCTGTGTCTACACAGACTTTTGGGTAGATTGCAGCAGCCCATTTTGAGTTTTCAGTTAAGTCCCAGCACTTGTACTGTTGTCACCTCTGAACCTGGCTTAGCATCGTCTACAGATGCTGTAATTCCACTTTGACACCAAGTTGTAATCATGTGAATTACAACCAAGCTCTTACAAGAATACAGTATCTTACTTCCAGTTATCATCTCCCACTCCTGTGCTTCCCACAAAACTTCTCCATTTCTATGACCAAGTTAAGGCTTGACCAAACATAACTCACCAAATGTGTCCTGAAGACATGCAAACAGGGCACTGAAGCCCTGGAGCTGGACCTCTGTGCATGACTTTACAAGCAGGATACATATTCCTTGGAGCACCAACTTACTGTGATCTGCTGATCCTGGTGCCAGATAGAGCTTGGTCTAGTCAGTGACATACCTAAAAGTAGTCAAAACCCTCTAATCTGTGCATTTCTGTTCTTGTCCTCTAAAATGGAAATTGGCAATCCCTGAATGTGCAGGTGCTTTGGTTCCCATCAACCCTAAGCCAAAGACAAAAAAATCCTGAAGATGTTTGTTGACTTCTGTGTATTTTCCAACTCTTTGGATATAGCAGTTTGATATGTTGAAGGAAATGAAGCTTTTGAACTCTGCTGCAAGTAAAGAGAACAAAGATCAGGGAACAGTTTCTATGTACTTGTGGGTTTTTTTAAGAAAAAAAGTATTGTCAACAGCACTGGAAGTAAGCAGCCTGTAATTTCATGCTGTTGCAAATTGTCAGCTGCCTTGCCCACACGAAGTCATTTAACTGGGGGAGTGATACTCACCAGGAAAATGAACCAGTAATGCCATATGCAGCCCACTGCAGTGAGATCTAATTCTCCATCCTAAGTTCTTTTTCATAGTTTCCCTCCAATAACTTTAATTAGTGCCTAATTACTGTGAATGAAAAGCATGAGAAAAAGTGACTCCAACACCAGCAGTACCACAGAGGTCAAGGACACTGTGCCTTTCCCCCCCTTCACATGGACATCGTGACACTTCCACTGCAATGGTATGACAAGGCAATGCTACTGGCACTATCACTCCTATTTTGTGTCTCCCTTTCACCTTTCACAGACCAGAGAGGATTCACCTTCCATAAGGTGGGAAGGGGCTGCTGAGCCACACTGGAGTATCTGGATGCAAAAACTGGATTTATCTACTTTGTAGTTGGAATGAATATACAAGGGTTAAAGGATCTTATTCTTGCTTTGAAAACAAGCAAGCTCAGAATCACAAGAGCTACAGAAACACCAAGTTGCTGATCAGTAGGTCACCAGAGGCAGAAAGGTAAGAGGAAATGTCACTTCCTGATGCAGAAGAAGTTCAGAAGTCTGTGGAGCTCAGCTCTGCATGCCTACAAAAACTATTCCTCCCATGGCTGTAGCTAGTAGGGCAAAGCAAAAAAGAACAAGCTACTTCCCTCAGAGAAGGAAAAGCTCCACTAGGGGTATAGCATTGAATTTTTTAATCCGTAAGCTAATAATACCAAGTACAGAAAACCTGACAGTATTACAAGGTAGAACGAGGAATATCTAATGCCTTTGTTTTCTTAGTACATAAACTTCAAAAGTATTTATTTGTTTGTTTGTTTGTTTCCTCTTCAATTTGTGAGGACAGCCTGCAACATCAGAGTTGTGAGGTGCTCACAACCTGAGGCTGCACAATCTGAGCAGTGAGGTGCCTCAGGTGAGCATACTTTGGCAACAACGAAAGACAGGGATCAACTATTTGGATTACTTCTCATCTGTTACCGTACTTACAATTGGACTAGCATTGATGTAGTCTGAATTGTCGTGGCTGCTTTCACCTTTCAGACATATCCTGGAATGATCATCTGCAAAGGAGAAAATAAGAGAAGAAAGTTTGGATACCAGTATTCTACCCATTTTAAGTTACAAAGTCAGATTAATGTGCATTTCAAGACAGGTAAATGGTAAATATCAGAAAGGATATTTCCTTCTGATTCCCAGCCTAGCCATAGCATTGATACAGCCACAGAATCAGATTCTAACTCAGGAATGATGCACTGGGATATTCCAGAGGCTCAGGATCAGAAAAGCCTGTCTTCATGAGATGCACTGTGATATGCTACAACCTCTCATAATTAAAATGGCAATATGTGCTGTTCAGGGAGTTTAGGACTTAAACTAGACAAATCACTAAAAAACTCCCAGTATAAACTTCCCTATAAAAGAGGGAAGCTGATGGGACTTTGTCCACCTGGCTTCTCTACAGAATAAACAGCAGGAACAGCTGAGAGATGGACAGTAAGTTAACTTGCCCTGATTAAAGACCAGTGCTGTGTGGTGCTCTGCATGGGGAAACGATACAACTCAAAGATGAAATCCCAATGAACTTAAGTACAACTGGAGCACACATAAATATCTTACACTGGTGCTATTGTAGCTGGTTCAGACACCACTAGTAAAGAAAACACTGGTTCTGTACATAGGAGACTTATGTTGTTTGCCTATCATCAAGATTATTTAATAATTTTTTAACTTGTAATTTTACTGGTGCTAGCTCAATTATATTTAAAGCTGGTACACCCCAAACTCTAGTCTTTTTTTTTTTTTTTTAATTTTTTATTTCAGGACATATTTAATGGATGAGTTTTATTTATCTATACTTAGACTGCGACAATGCAGATGTCTGCATCTCTTCCAATCATCTAGACTCACTTTCTGCTAAGAGAAAAGAAATATTTCTAGATGATGAATCATTTAATCCTGATTTAGCTGTCTCAAACAGGCTGAACTGTACTCAAGAAATGCCATTTCTTTCCATTGACTAAGAAAGACAGACCAGTCCACACTCAGATAATTTATGTGAGAGATGTCTAAGTCTTTACATAAGAATCTCATACAACTTATACCTGATACATAACCAGCATGATTTATACTTCTTAGCAAACCTGTTCTGCACAGTGTATTGTGGGAAGAGGTCGTGGAGCTGCCCTTTCTGTAACCCTCTACAGCTGAGCATGGATACTGATGTTTCAAGAGGATCTTTCCACTGATTTTTCAAATAGACAAAATAAGAGTACAGGAATACAGCCTGTCTTGTACCTTGTCTAGTGGCCTGTGAGACCACTCAACACCAGGATTCCAAGATGCTTTTTAAACTATTAAGTACCAATTAGTATTTTAATAATGAGGAATAATAAATGAGTTATCAAATATTCTAAGTACCTCACAGGAGGTTAGGTTTATTCAACAGTAATGCCACAGCAGTTCAGTATATGAGGAAGACAGAGGGATGCTTGTATGAGTGTTGTTTACAGTCATTCAATCTCACCCAACAATGTCAACAACATTCTCCTGGAATAAGATCAGTGATGAGTTAAGTCATGTGAAATGAATGCAAAGCCGGTCTTCACTATTCACATAAAATTATTTTCCCTGGTAAGGTTTCAACCCAACAGAAGGATGAAGAAGATGAGAAAGGGAACATGCTCATTCACATTATTCACTTCCACCTCGCTTTGGCACCATTGCACAAAAAATCCAAAATGTAAAACTGAACTTTTGACACCTGAAATCTTGGGCTAATCAATATTTTTACAGGAAGCTTTGTCACAGAGTTCCTGAAGAATTACAGCTCTGAAACCTTCTGGCTTTGCAGGAGATATTTAGATTACATGCAGGAAATGTGGTCTCTCACATACCTTAAACTCAAGCAATCAGGATAAGCCCCATTCAACTGGACAGCAAAAGTGTTTGAACTAATCACCAAAGAAAATGTGTTAAATGTTTTCAAATGGATGAGGGAGAAAGAGCAGACAGTGATCCATCAGTTCTTAGCAAACAGATGTCAGGGTGACTGTCCAATAAAAGTTGGGCGTCAGATAAGTAATTTCAGGATTTTTCTTTTTAAAACAAAATGTTTTATCCAGACCCTCTGAATAATGCCATGTCATTATTCTGCTGTCTTGAAGGGTTTATCCAAGGGTGAGACTTGTTAAGGTTTTGGTGGTGAAAAGGTGGTGAGACTGTATTTGCACTTAGAAAAAAAAAAGTGTGCAAAAAAGGTTGTACATGTGTTTTCTGCATATATCAAGAGTTTGCACCCATGTGTGCTTCAGTTGCAGCATCAAGCATTCATATTGACAATGAACAGATTGTGCTTGTCTATGCCTGTTATCACCTCAAAGCTTCTAGGAACTTGCATAATAGATCTTCAGAAACAGGCAGGGAAAGAAGAAAGGAAAAAAAAAACCACAACAGAATACCATGGACACCAGAACATTAACAATGAGCAACTACAGGGAAAATCACTAAAGTACTAACTTTTTTTGTTGATGTTTTGTTTTGGAGTTTGTTTGTTTGTTTTGTTTTGCTTTTTTTTTTTTTTTTTTTTTTTTTTTTTTTTTTTTTTTTTTTTTTTTTTTTTTTTTTTTTTTTTTTTTTTTTTTTTTTTTTTTTTTTTTTTTTTTTTTTTTTTTTTTTTTTTTTTTTGTAAACTGCATATATTGATTATGTTGGAAGCAGGAAAGAGAAGCAGGAGAAGGAGGAAATAAAAAGGACAGGCATGCCAAAAAAAGGAAGATATATAAGATCAATCTAAAAAACAAGAAAGAAAGATAAATGAAGAAACAGGAGAGGAGAGGGATGGTAATAAGGCAGTGAGAGAAAAGACAAATGCTGTTACTAGATAGTGCAATCTGGCCAAGCTACAACTCGTCATCATTTTAAGTATCTACAATAGCTGCTGCTGAGTGCTGAACTACTTTGCATTTGCTATTGCTCTACAAGACACAGCTGAAAGAAAAGCAAAATATGCACATGGATATATGTGGCAGAGAAAGGCTTCCTAAATAAGACGGCTACACTAACCAGTAGCTGAGAAAATATGTAGCACAATGTTGTATTTTATACACATATAAAATATAAATTGGAAAATAAAAAGGATAGAGAATAAAGGACAATATAAGCAGACATACATGAGTTTGCAGTTTATAAAAACTCAGCTTATAGACTAAATATCTAAGTTTTGGTATCTACATACAGATATCTTCATGTGAAGTGGTCACCCTTAATGGAGCTCTGTTTAGTTGGCTAAACATGAAGATGTACTGTTTGAGAGACTGTAAAGTAGAGGAGACACTGCCCAAGGATAACAGATACAACACAAGACCTAAAGACTTGCACCCTGTTGAACCAGGATCCGAAGTTCACACAGGATATTCAGTGGCATCCTAGAGCTATTAACTGCACCGTAAACTAAACACCAACTTTTGGCCATTGGACAGCTCTCTTGATGTCACTGCACTGACTGGCACTTCACTGATGGTATCAGGTGCTTTGACACCTGGCTCATGTGGGGGCAGCTACATGGAGACACTTCAGTTTAGGCATCCTAATCTATGATTTCACTGACTCATGCCCAGAGAACTTGATTCCAATGCTTGTGTGTGGGTTTCTAGTGATATCTGAGGTGTTTTAAGGACACTCAGGCTAGCAGCTAGGAGAGGCACAAGCTTCTCACAGAGCTTGTGTTATACCTACTAGTTCTGCCTGGGTACCTTGAATACTTTAGGCATCTCAAATGGCACTGGATTCCTGTGTCTAAACTTAATGAGGATCTATTATTTCTGTTATTAGATGGAGATTGAAAGCTTGGAAAAGTAAGACTCACATCTTCCCTCTGTCTTCTGTTTCCTTTTAATCAGGTACTTCAGAAGGAACAACACCAACAAACAAAAGGCTAAAAACAAGGAATATGGACAACTCTGGATTGTCTGAATCCAGGCAACACAGATCAGGGCAAATCATAAAACAATCAACGTGGCACATTCTGCCTGGATTATCATTACCTTCCTTATAGATTTAGACTGATTTTTTTCCATACAAAGCACTGCATAGAACTGCACTGAAATAAGAAAGGGAAGAAATACTGAGGAGCAGAAGTGGAGCAATTTGAACACTATGAAGCATCATAATCTGTTGATTATCATTATTTTGCCTATAGATGATCTGCACAAAATGGAACTCTTCTTGGCTCTGAACTGAAATCAAGTTCATCTATTTCAGAGCACTATTTGTACATCCATTCCTGATACAGATAATGAACAAATCTGGAGCAGGTGCCCGCCCTCTGTTCATCTTCAGTGCACAACTCCTAACTGTGCTCTAAAGGCGAACAAGCCTCAGAATTGGGTGCATGTTCTGCCCACAAATGCTTTGCTCTCCTTTGTAGGAAAGCCAAACACAAGGGTAAGCAGGTTGCTTTAATATATACCATGACCCATGGACACAGCTACAGTGGGCAGCTTTTGATAGATGTTCTCTACAAAAAGTTGTTTGCCAAATGCTTTAAATACCTGTTTGAATTTATGGGATAGATACATCAAAGCATACGGTATTGACCCTAATGAGATAGGTTTGTTTGGCAGAGATGAGAAAAGGGAAAAGAAATTCTGGAAAGTTTTTTTTTGGCTGCTCATGGATTCACACAGAAAAAAAAGATATCACTAAATTGTAGTACTAAATATAAACACTGGCTGCCCTAAATTATAGCAATCTGCTTTTTGATTGGATAGAAGGATACAGTTTTCTTAATCTACAAGGTACAGGTTACTTGAATTGTTAGAATTTTTTTAACTAGTAATTAATTAGGTGCAGTGTCAAGGTGTTCTGTAATCAAGTATTTTAAAAGCTGTTTGTAAATAGAGAAGAGAGGTATAAGAGCAAGCTATGATAAAATTGTGATGATAATAATCTAGAAATTAAATCAGTTATATAATCAGTAAAAAATAACACTATACTATTTTAAGACTGGTTAAGAAAGGAAAATGCAAAGCAAGTACAACACGATATTAAAGCTTCTTTGAGGCCTTCCTAAGATGAAATCTTCTGTGTGAATTGGCAATCTTGTTCTACCTTGACAAGGTGATTATTAATATGAAAGGGGCAAGGACACACTAACAAAACATTACTCTGTGAGAATACATTGAATGTAGCATAACAACGCTATAGCATATTAAGATCATATCAGGTTTGCTTCTTCATTTATTATGAAGCAAATTTATGACTTTTTTCTACAGTTTTAATGCCTAACAATGAAAAAAAAGTGGGCAAACTGGGCCTTCTCATGTCAGTCTAATCTTGGAGTCTAAAATAACCAAGTTATCAAAATTTAATATTGTTTAAATGCCATGCCACACTTTTCACTCATCAACAAAATAGTTGTAGGGATATAACATGACAGCTGTTTACCAGTATGCAGCCACTTCAGACAGTGAAGGCAGGTAATTTTGTGCAATTCAGTCAAAAAGGAAAATTCCCAGTGCCCTAACAGTTGTAATAGGAGTTTCCGCATTGTAGAAACAAAGTAAAAACAGCATTATGCCTTTTAAATGTGCTAAAATACTTTAAATTAAAACTTCAGATGGATTGTAGTCACCCTACCCATGTTCAAATACCTTCCAAGGTAGCTTTGATTCAGTCTAGACACAGCAGTGGGAAGAACGGGCATAAGAAGCAATGGCAGAGAGCTGAAGGCTGATGAGTGTAGGCTGATACATCCACATGGTACAATATGATGACTATCTGAGCTCTCAAAAGAGTTCAGTTCTCTGGTGTTGCATGACATTGAGGTGCTGGAGCACATCCAAAGGGCAGTGAGGCTGGTAAAGGGTCTGGACCACAAGTCCTGTGAGGAGCAGCCGAGGGAGCTGGGAGTCTTTGTCCTGGAGAAGAAGTGGCTCAGGGGAGACCTCATCACTCTCCACAATTACTGGGAGGAGGTTGTAGTGAGGTGGAGATCAGTTTCTCTTCCCAAGGAACCAGTGACAGGACAAGAGGAAATGGACTCAGTGCCAAGGGAGGTTTAGACCGGATATTACGGAAAACTTCTTTACCAGAAGGGTTGTCAAGCCTTGGAATAGGCTTGAGTCTCCATCCCTAGAGGTATTTAGAAGATATGTAAATGTCACACCCAGGGACACGGTTTAGTGATGGACTTGGCAGTGCTGGGGTAATGGCCAAACTCAATGATCTTAGAGGTCTTTTCCAAACTAAATGACTCTTTGACACCCAAGTAAAAATCTCTGCTCTTCAGCACTGTCACAGTCATGTCAATTCCGGATTTAGAGGTAGACAAGTCTAGTCTGAAGGATTCTATCTTAGCTCATTGTATCATGCAGACACAGTTTCTACATCAGTCAAATAATCAGCACCAATTTCTGGTAACACCTGTAGATCCCATGCTGTCTCCAAGGCAGCAACCAAAAACCAATCTGCTTTAATTTATGAGCAGGGACTTGAAATAGCTTAAGATGGTCTGACTGTAAGTCCATATTGAATAGAGCACTTAAAGAAGGAAGATTAACTTGGATCAATACCAATTTTCATGGAGCAATTTTCACTTCCTGTCATGTCAGTTAAATTCTGCTTTTACACGACGGAAAAGAGCAGAGAAATCTTGCACTCCTTTAATTAATTTAACTTTCATGGTGACTTCTTTAGAACTTCTCAACAGACCTGATTCCAAAACACATCAGAAGTCAGCAAACTGCTGCTGTTGCCTCAAAAGGCTTCCAACCAGCACCACATTTACTGAGAAGAATTCATGTTGCCAAACTCCTGTGAAGCAAAGTATTGCAGAAAGAGCCACTACATAAACAAAAGAACCAAACCCTGCTGAAGCAAATATGCAAGGACTTATGGGCTCAGTTAAAATTTCACATACTTCCAAAGAATCTTCACTCTAAACCTGGCTATGACATTTACTTAATGTGTTACCTGTCATTTCCCCATTTCTAAAAGAGGAATAGTACTTATTCAAGGTTCTCTCAGTGAAAATTAATGTTTTCAGGGCACTTTAAAAATTAAAATAGATATATATGTTTGCCAAGCTATCCAGCTGGATTGTGGGCACGCTGATTGAGAGCATTTTGGTTGCTGTGGACTGTGCATATATTCTCAGTTTCATTTTTGTTTCATTGGTTGCTTAATAAAATGTGTGTCCATAGATTACCAATGCAATCTATGAGATACATATATTTGCATAGGAAAAATATGTTACTTTTATTTCAAGCTCAGAAGGTGGCTGCTTAAAGAAAAGAACAGGTTCTAGGAATATAAACATGGGTTCCTTTTTTTTTTTTCCCCCCTTTTTCTCTTTCTATCCTAAGCCTTGCAGAGAGAAGCCAGTTTGCAAACTTATCCACTGAAGCCTAAAGGGGCTCTTTCAGTATAGCTGAGTATCTGATAAACAGATGATCCAGCTCTGAGTGTAGACTGCTTGTATTACTGTTGGATGGACATGACACCAACTTGTCTAAACACATGCCAAACTTCCTTCTGTTGAATGGCTACAGATGTCACTCTTGTACAGAAAGTAATATTTCAGCATTGAAAAGCACCCCAGCTATGGGATTTCATGAGACAGCACAGCTGCAGCAGCAGTGTTACATGGCATAGTTGTGCATTTTTGTAACATATATGCAACTTTTAAGGAGATAAACACGGTCTGATATGACAACAGGACGTGCACCCAGCCCATAGCTGTAGCCACATCTTTCTAGTGCACATAGAAGTTGCTCTGCATTCTGTTTGCCTGTAATCTGTAGCTTTCAAACCACTGTGCAAAGGGTACTGGCAAAAGTATCAGGAACTTAAAATGCTATCATCTGAATGAAAGTGTACATACATGGCACTACAGCCTGGGAGCGGTTCTTCTGGATATTTTCCTCCTGCTGCGCCACAGTGGTGTCACTGGGTTCGGCCTGATAAGCACACAGAGCTTCCCACTCTTTCTCCAGACGATTCTTGTTTTTCAGGTGATCTTCCATGTAGGACTGGAATTAAAAGAATACTGCATTAAGCATTTACTTAGCTAGGCTCAAAGCTAAGCTAAGAGGATGTTTGTCAAGATGGAAAGCATGGGAATCCTAAGCTTTGGAGAAAAAAAAAACAACCTCTCGGTTTTATAGTTAATTTATTCACTTCAGGGAGTTAACTTCAAGCTTATTTGTGCTAAACAAAATGAGAAGGTTAAAATGTACCAGTGCTAACGGAGAGAAAGTGTGTGAAACATCCAGTTACTGAGTTTCAGGAGAAAAGTATTTCTTCTTCAATACTTACAAAACATAAGCACAGCCATCTATTTCATCAGGCAAAGGAAAAGAAACAAAACAGCACTGACAAAAATTACTATAAACAACAATTCCCGTCAAACCAAAGGCTTTTAAAACTAAAGTCTAAGTACATTTGCAAGTAACAATGATAGAGCTGCCAAAGAGAATTAAAAATTAGCCAAGCAGAAGTGTCATGGTTCAAGCACTGGGTCATCAGAGGCTCATTCTGCATATGGACTGGCACAGAGAGGGCCTAGAACTAAGGTGTTGTTAATTAATACTAATATGTGTGGTTAAAGATTTTACATTGCATTCAGTTAAATTAGCAGTGTTAGGAAAGCATCACCAAAGAAAAATGTCTGTGGCAGCAGTGATGGCCCATCAAAGTATACTGGTGCAGATCTTAAGTTTTTGCAGATCTCCCAGGGCTAGAGATTCAGTTCAGCAGTGGATCAGGAATTCAGTTCCAAAGATTCATGGAAAGTGAACCAAAACCCTATTTCTTCACCCCATGGACCCGAAAATCATCCAAGTAGGTGAGGGAAAAAGAGTAGAAAGGAAAAAGGGTGAGGAAAAATAGAAATCTTTCCCTCCCTTAAACATGAGAATTAAGAAAGTGATCACCTGGTACCATAAGCAGACTTTTACAACCTTGGCCAGAGCCTGTCATCTTCTCCTACAGCAAGCAGCAGAACCACCTCCCATTCAATACAGTTCATATTTGTAAATTAAACTCCATACTATCTTTACGAGGTAGGTTGACATTAATAGGCTGTTTAGGAGATAGTCTCAGGGTCTGGACAGGGGTTGAGGGGTCAAGAGCAGAGCTGTGTGTGCTTCTGACCCAAAATTCGGTCACAGTGATTCCTGCTGGAGCTCTCAATAATACAGCCCAATCTGCAGCAAACCTTGTCTAGAAGAACCTCCTGTAAAGGATTTACTGTAAAATATAAAAAGCAGTTTAATTGCTAAGAAAACCTTTTTCATAGACAATCTCTGTTACGTCAACTTGTTCTTTCCAAATGTGCTTTGAAGAAGAAAGGCTCTCGTGCCCTTTTAACAGGTTTAGCAGAAGGTGCAGAAAGCTTGCAGCTTCTCTGCCAAACATGAGCTGTGCACTGTGCTTCCCACCTGGTCAGCAAGGCAGGATACCACTCTCTCTTGCAGCTTGAACAGTTTTTTGATTACAGAAGAGGTCCTGACACACAGCTTTGTTTTGTGCAGTTTGTCGGGGGCCTGCGTCTTTACACAAGATTTGTAAATCAAACCTGGTACTGAAAGGCAATTCAAGAAGTGATGCTTCCAGAAGATAAATCTTTAAGGGCACAGAAAAATACTGCATTAGAAGAAAGGTTTCTAAAGGAGGTAAAGAACAGTGGTGGCCTAGATACAATCAAAGCACCTACTGTGTGATTGCTTCTTTTTTATAATGAAGGAAAAAGCATTACAATGGACAGAGCTGTGACCTGGCGAATGGGGAGCTGGGAGAGCTGCATGGCCCTGCTGTGTTTGGGGTGTGGGTCAGCTAATGTGTTACCAGACTTAACTTGCAAGTTAACTGGAGGAAACCACCCTCTGATAGTTCTCTTCTCCTTGCCAAAAAGGCTGTTGCTACTGGGGAAAAGAGGGAGGCTAAAGATCCAGTTCTTTTCTCCTAGTGAACCTGTGCCTGGATATGTATACTGAACATCACAAAAAAAAAAAAAAAAAAGATAATCCCCTCTTGAGAAGAGACTTGCTGGTATATAAGAATTTTTATGAGCTGAAGGGAAAAAAAAATAGCAAAATCTTACAATACCACAGAGCCAATACTCCTGGCTTCAGAGCAGCTGTTTAGCATGCAGCAGAGATCAGGCAGTCAAGGACCAGCCCTTAGCATCTTCCCATTTTAGACCACAGTTTTATACTGTGATTCATTTTGACATGCCCATCACCAATGTCCCATAGACTTCAGGGACATTTTATGCAAATATACAGATCTGCCAACACTGAATCTCTCCAAAATACTGTGAGATCCACGAAGCTGTAGCAAAAGGACCATGAACATTTTATTCCTAAGGCAGGGCTCTATGTAGCAAGGAGTTTCCTGTTAACTTCAACTTGTCTCTTTGATGATTTCAAGGATTGTATTTTAAGAAGAAATTTTATTTTCCTTTATAAATCATCAAATATGACACAAATAAGGTAATTTGACTGCTTTTAGCACACATGAACTTTTAAATAGCTCACCTATTTTTAAAAGTTTTTACTTTTATCTTCATTTTTCAGGTAATTGAGTGTAAAGAGAAATGAGTCTTCAAATGAAAACACACTGCAGTCTTAACTTTAACCAGACAACCATTTTTTGTGTAGTTTTAATATCCACAACACACGTATCAGATTCACAGGGCACTTCCTGACAGACCTTGAAAAGGTGTTTGACTATTTAAACAGACCCGTGGAAGGCTCTGTACAATAGGAACATCTGCTTTACACACATTTTTAAAAGCTACTGAGAAAGAAGCTTGCTTTAAAACATTCAGGAGCCAGACAATTCCCTCAGAGTTAAGTAATCTTTCACTTACAGTCCTTCAGAGCCCCTCTGCTCATCCCCATTTTGCTAAACAGAAGCTTAGTGATTTTGAAACACTCTCTTGGGAGTGCTGGATGTACATTAAATTGAGTGGAACTTCTGATATTTTAGAGATTGTATGTCTACTCAAATCCACTCCTTAATTAGGATGTTTTGATGAGACAGTCTGCAGTATTTGCCTGGTACAAAAGAAATTCATTACCACCATGTCAAACACGCACATGATTGTCCTTGTCCCAGAGCAGCAGGTAAAATAAACAGAGGTTGTCACAACTGTTATTGTAACGCTCCTCAAGCCTGCTGAAAAAGCAGAGGTCTAGTCTTGCCGATCTGTCCACATCAAAGCAAGTCCTGCAATCCCAAGTATATTATTTAAACAAATACTGTCTGCTTGGACAGCTCCGAAGCACCTTAAATTCCATTGTCTTAATTTCTCTTCCACAGGCCCTCACCTGCCAGGACAATCTGTGGCCCAGTTCATACTTTCTTGTGTAGAGAGAGATGAGATATTCTTCCTACCAAACATGCCACAGGGATAAGGAGGATGTGCCAATGTTATGTGGAGAGAGTGGATGTGTTGTGGTATCTATTATTACTGTGTGAGACGTGCCAGTTGCAAGCCAAAAGATGAGTTTTTAGCCAGAGGATGAGAAGCTGTCCCAGGGACAATAAATCTTTGGCCTAGAGAGACAGTGCCAGTGACAAATATTAAGAGAGATTCCGTGTGCCTGAACACAGACACAGAGACAGAACAGCAGCCTGGCTTGGCTTTGGTAGAACTTCCACTGTGCTTGGTTGATGCTGTAATATGGGGTCAAACCACTTAGTCTTTCTTTACTTTTTTCATTATTCTTTTCTTTTTCAAGGGGTATCCAATGCGTGCTCTGCGACTAAATGAGGTTAAAAATATAACCATTAAATTCTAATTGTCTGGTCAATCTCTAAATCATAGAATCACAGAATGATTTAGGTTGGAAAAGTCTCTAAGATCATCCAGTCCAACTCTTAACCCAAGACTGTCAAGCCCACCACTAATCCATGTCCCCATGTACCACATGTACATGTCTTTTAAATACCTCCAGGGATGGTGACTCCTGGGCAGCCTGTCACAGTGCTTGACAACCCTTCCCGTGAAGAAATTTTCCCTAATATCACAGAAGCACAGAATATCCTGAGTTGTAAGGGACCCATAAGGGACCCAACACCTGACCCTGCACAGGCCAGTACCCAAGATGATACACCGGGAGTATCATCCAAACCCACGACACTCTTCTTGAACTCTGCCGGGTTGGTGATGTGATCACTTCTCTGGGGAGCCTGTTCCAGTGCCCAACCACCCCCTGGGTGAGGAACCTTTTTCTAACATCTGACCTAAACCTCCCCTGATGCAACTTCAGGCCATTCCCTTGGGTCCTGTCACTGGTCACCACAGAGAAGGGATCCCCTGGCACAACTTGAGACTATTTTCTCTTGTCTTATCACTTGTCACTTGGGAAAAGAGACCAAATACCTTCTTGAGAGCTAGTATGGTTTACATCTGTTAGGATATTTATTTTAAACACCTTTTTTATCAGCTGATGTTCAGTTACTACAATTATTTTTGACTACAAAATACCAACACAGTACTCGATTAGACACCCTTTTCATGACTAAGGATGCTTCTTTCAATGACAAGATGTGAAACTCATAAACCGACACACCTTGACAAGCCTAATTGAATTTCAAATGCCAGCTGAAGAAGCAGGTGCAAAATTATCTTAATCCTTGCAAACGGTGACCACTCAAATCCACATCATTCACCTGACAGTGTGGGAGCCACTGCCTTCAAACTGCTGCTGCATTTTCTAGAGATGAATAGTGCCAGGCAGTGCTGAGGTGCTTCACTGGGTCCCTCGGGGGGAATTTGGAGAGGAGAGAATTTGCTTTAGCTATTATATAGCAAACTGTGCACTGAAAGACCATACTTCAAAAATTGTTTTGTATTCCCTTCAACTGACTTAAATAATGGCTTTTTTTTTTGGCCTTTGTTCCTTGCTAACTTGTAGGTTGCATCATTTTGTCCCAGGACATCCCAGCACTCTTGCTGTTCTGCTTTAACTTCTTGGTCTTCAGTACACATTGGACTGACTATATATGAGAAATACTTTTC